AATGCTTATTTAGTATTTGCATTGTGTTGGCACTTGTTCAGAAGAGAAAGCAAAAGAAAACAACAGTTCCCTGCCCAAGAGATGACATCACGCTATGAAACTTCAGGACTTGTTTTTGCAGAATTGTTATTAATCATGGTTCTATGCAGGGGTCATCCTGTAACTCCAGCTACTGGAGTCATATGAATGCTATGCTTATGGTTCAGCCTTAGTAAGTCTAGGACTGGAGAGTGATTTCTCCATCAGGGCAATCAAATTTTTATGTATGGCAAAGTTTGATGTGAGAGTTTTCACAGTTTCCTTTGCTTCTCCAATCTCAATAGCAAACCCACCAGACGAATGTTGATCTCTTTCTTTTCAGTTCAACACAAATTTTGTTCCTTCCATTGTAAGTCCTGAATTTTCTGTTTTATTAGCAAAATAGTTCCTATGAAGTTTGGGACCATTCAAGTGTTTGACCTGGTAAAAACACTTCCTTATAGTACTTTACAGTGGTTTCTTAGATGCCCACATGAAGCTGTTTTTCCATTGTGGCACTGTTTGGAACTACAGTCAGAAAACTGAAGATGTGGTCCTTGGAACCTTTCCACTTGGTTAGAAATCCATAGTATTGCCTTCTAAATGAGGTGATAGGCACAGAGTTGAGCTGTCATCAGAACTGGGAGAACTGCAGGAGTTTAATAAACGAAATGGATTTCTGACAAAGCATGTGCACGTTTTACTTGGAAAGCTATAACAGGATAATCAACTGAAGTCAATTCACTCACATATGCAAAAGTATTAAAAACGTAGAGCTGAATGGACACAGCTGCCTCTGCTTCCACAAGCTGATGTTCAGTGATGGTCATGGGAAAGAATCCATACATTGTGATGGTTTGTGAGAGTACCTTGGAATAAGAGGAATTTTTATCTTGCTTTGCTTCCAAAACCAAATACAATGAAGAACGAGATCTGTGACAGAACTCCTCAAGTGTTCCTAAGGCCAGCTGCACATCAACTCACTTCTCCTCATTGTCTGGAGAGGTGGCAGTGCTTTCTTAGTGCTGTTTCTGTGGACTGGATCCACAAACACATCTCATTGAAATCTAACATAAAATCAGACAGCTTCTCCTTTGCTCCAGCTAATGCTATGGCTTTGGAAAAATGAAGCTCAAAATGACAACCTGCAGTGTTATGTATGCATGTATAAACATTTTTAAGCAATGTCAGCCCCCTTTGGGACCTTGAGACCTCATACAGGTTTTGTCTGCTCATTTTATTTGAGTAGTTCAGAGGTTTTCCAATCTTTTGTCTTTTGAAGTTGAAAACAAGTGGTTTATGCATTTCAGATGATTTAAACACGAGATAGACTTTTGCTGCCATTACTTTCTATTAGTATTTGACTTCTGACTAATCCAGATGTGTGGAGGGAAGTAAATACTGTTTGTAGTGTCAAGGTAATCAGTAAAGTCCTTTGTTAGGGTATTCATTAGGCTTGTTTGGTCTCTCAGACCTGCAGCGGGTTTGCACAGGGATTGCAAAGGCTGGTCTCTGCAGATTTGGCTGCGGCTGTAGTGCCCAGGATGACCATGGCCAAAGATCAAAGGGACCTTAATGGTCATCTACTGCCTGGGCTGAAGCGATGCAGGAGGCATCAAGCATCAGCCAAGGCTGGGTGATGGAGAGAGCAGTGGGCATAAATTTAAGAAATTGAGCCATTGTGTTCACTAAGAAATTGAAGTTGAGGATTCTGAAGATCTCCTCCTTCCTGGGAAGACTTTGAATGAAAGTCAGCAGTAAGGCAGAGCTTTCCTCCTGTACCAGGCCTATCTCTGACCTTCCTATGGAAGAACTGGCCGGGTCCAGGACCCTCTTCCATGTGATGACAATAGTGCAAAAGTGCTGCTAAAAGATCAGACCAGTTGTTCCTGGTGCTGTGTGGGGTTGGTGGTACCTGTTCTCTTAGGCAGTGAAGCACAACAGTAAGGTTTAAAGTTTGCCATAAGGGCTGGTATCTCCAAACATGCATGAAATCTGTGTTGGCTTGCTGCTTTGCACAGGAGGATGACACCACATGGGTAGAAAACCTACTTCTTGGAAGGGTGAAAATCCTCTTCTGTTGTCCATGTTCAATTGGTTGCAAACTGGGGCCAGAGACAACCGTGCAAAACTGGCCTTCAGAGCACACAGCTGTCAGGATCGTAAATTGCATGAATAAAATGCACTTTCCCAGCACCAAGCTCATAACTTCCCATCACTTCCCAGAACAAATACTGTCTGCTATATTTATTAGGTGGGACTGTGCATAGGCAGTCGCTTTCAGTGTATTTATTTGGAAGCCCTCAGTTGTGCGGTAATCTCAGGCACCTCTGGGAGATTTAGCTCAGATAGAGGTTTGGGCTGGAGGTCACAGGGTCACTGATATTAAGATAGGGAGCAGGAAAGGAAACGGCATTGTTTTTGTGGCATTATCTGAACAGTAAGGAAAAATAAATGCAGCTTTTAAGATGGCTTTAATCTGACTTTGGAGGAAATGGCCTACAAATCCAGCGAGCAGGCAGCTGCTGCAAGACCTTGCCTCTTCTTATGCGTGTTTTGAGCCGCTCAACCCAAAAGCATGATGACCGAGGCTTGGTTAAGCAACAGCTCTCTAGAAATCTTCTCAAGTGGCTGAAGTTTTGCTTGAGCATATGCAAATACTTTAGCTCCTGTCCCAGAATACAATCTCTGCAGTTGCTTTTTTGGGCAGTAGCTTGGAGGCAGAAATTGGTTTCCCTATGAGGTCAGCCGGGTGCCAGGGCTCACCTGGCAGCATTTCTAGGTCCTCTTACAGCACAGGGGCAAAGAGCAGGAACACAACCATCCTGAGACAAGCACCAATAGTAATAAATCTGGTGCCCATGCACTGGGATCCATCTCCTGCTGCAAGCTCTGATCAACTCCTCTCCCATGTGATGTCTTTGGTTTTTTAAAACAGGCGAGCAAACACTGTGGCCCTTTCTGCAGCCAAATGCTTATTTTCAAGGAGCATGCAGGCAGTTTGCTCTAACCCTCTGCAAATATGACTGAAATCAGCTAATAGGTTCCAAATTTATTAGGAGGAAGCATAGAGCATGAATGCGAAGGACTGGTTTCCTCAGGAAGCTGAAGTAACCAAAAAAAAAAAAAAGCATTCAGAATGCAAAGTAAGGATTTGTTTGTTGCCTCCTTAATATTTTACTGTAAAACACTCTGTCTTATCTGTCTTATGCTCAAGGTTTTTCTGCCTGTTTGTATATATATGTGTGTGTGTGAGCATTTCTGTGTATAAAATTCCAGCAACATCCACTGTTTAAAAAATCAAAACTGAGAAGGATTTTACTAAAAGCATTTTGGGAAAAGCTCTGCTCTCGGTTTTCCTGTCAAAGTTTTTCTAAGCTTTTATTTTTATTAGTCAAAATGTTTAGAATCCCCAGGAAATCCTGGGATGAACCGTTTCCTCTTTAAGCTGTAGCCCTTAGGGGAAAAAAAAGAGAACGCTCAGATCCTTCAAAGGTTAGAAATTTTTAAACTGTATTTTTTGCAGATTTTTTAAATTACAGGAAAACTAAGTTAGGAAGATGCTTAGCTTTATGCTACGGTCCTGGGAAAGATAGATCTCTTTGTAGAAAAGCCCGATGAGACCCTTAGATCTGAGTGAGGAAATCTCTTAGGCTCGGATTTTAAGAGGCAACCAGTTGTGGGGTGGAGGCCCAGCAGGTTCATTTGAAAGACCATCTTTATGTTTTTTAAAAATAAATTAAAAAGGAACATTTTATTTCCCTCAACCGGAACGTGTGTGTTAGTGAACATCGAACAGCTTTGTATTCAGAGGCTGTTAATGCCCTGGAGATAATTTTATTTTCTTATTAATTAAATTTATTTTTTTCTCAGATCTTATTTGCCTATATACCTGAGCTTTTACAGCAGTAAATTCAGTTGACGGTTTCCCTTCCTTCAGATCAACTCCAGTGGAAACTGTGTTTGTAAACAAATAAGAACTTCCAAGTTGCAAAAACACTGGTACATCACTAATTTTAAACTCCTTTGGGATTTAATCTTAAAGTCAGTTCATTTACTTAAAGTTAGGCATGTGAGTAAGAATATTTATCAGAGACTGCAGCCGTGGCTGGGCCAGCTGGCACTCAGCATGTGTTGCTTACCCGAGAGTTCATCATCATCAAGGGCATTTTGGGGGTACAGAAATGTAAATAGTAAAGAGTGGTTCTATTTCCTCTGTGCAAGTGTGTCCAGGTGGACAACAGGTTGACCATAAGCCAGCAGTGGCCTAGAAGGACAATGGTATCCTGGGGTGCATTAAAAAGAACGTGGCCAACAGGTCAAGGGAAGTTCTCCTCCATTACTCTGCCTTGGTGAGGCCTCATAAGAAGTACAGTGTCTACTAACAGCGTTGCAATTCAATATCTCTGTTTTGCAGAAGGGTAGGTGAAGAGGAAAGACTAAAGGAGGGAGACTGACAGTGAATTGCCTCATGTTTCTGATTTTAAAGCAAGCAGAATGTCCCCCTAATACATCAGCGACTTCCTAAGTTTGGAAGGTTATGATTTTTATTGAAAATCTTCTGATTTTGTTTGGGCTTTGGATTTAAGATAGCTGCCAGGATTTCCCTATTTCACTATTTCACTATTTAGTGAAAGGAAATACAAGCTTCCTCATTTTAATTCCAGTGTCTTCCACGCAGCCAAATTGTCTGCATAGACAGCCTGAAAGCTCTCAGACTGTCTCCTCTGCAGGAGCAGTGTTGTGAAGTTAGACCTTATGAGGAATAACAAGGGTCATATAATAAGGACTTATACTAGAGAAAGTTAGAATTCCCTTCCAGTTGGAAATATCTGATAATCAGCCCTTATTGCTGTGGGCTCGGATGGGTCAATAAACTTCATATGTGTGTGAGTTTTTTGAGTCATTTGGCCTTTTACACTTTGCTTCTTTGATACCTAATATTATTAACTCCTCTTCTGTTCTTGTTTGCATTTCTACAGGTGCTGTTTGCACTAAACCAAACTCTGCTCCAGCATGAAAGTCTCCGAGCAGGCAGTTTGCAGGCCCCGTACACCACTGAAGATCTCATCAAACATTATAATTGCGGAGACCTGAATGCTGTTATATTCAATCATGACACTTCCCAGGTAAGCAGAAATGTTGTGTATGAGCCAGCGAGCTGAGAACAAATAATTTGCTTTAAAATAGATGATATTTTCTCTTACAAAGACAGGAAGTGTTCTCTTACTAAAGTTCCTGATCTAAAATTTCTACACTGGATATAGTGACCTGTATTCATTAAAATGCTTGGTATCTATTTCTACCAGGTAATCACACACATAGTTTCCCCATAGTTTCTGCATAGTTTCTGCATCCTACAGGTCTCACATGACAAAAAAGGGTGTAATTTAGCAGATGAATAGAGGCAAAGAGAGGTTAAGAGCTCAGCATAAAGCCTGTCAGATGCCTATAGCACAGCAGAAAGTAAAACTCCAATCTCACAGTCATCACTTTCTACCCCATCTCCTCTTTTTCCTCTTCCTTTTGATGTCTCATGTTTTCTTCTCCACGTGTATCTCATCTGCATAATGAAAGTTTGGGGTTTCCTAGGTATGGCTTCGGCTCTGGGGAAGTGACTGACTGGAAAACTTTCCTAGGAATGTGCCTTAAAAAAAGTTAATTATGGACATTTGTGGGACTGTTGAATGTGGTCTCCTCATTAAGGGGGAAAAAAAATCTTTGTAATATTTGAGCTTATGTTTGAAGAGGAAGTGAACCTTGTGTAAATACTCTGTAAAGTAAATAACTTCTCAAACATGTCATAATTCAATAATTTTGTATGTGTCTCAGACAGCCCTTCCGTCTCTGTTTATCTTAGTTATCCAATGCTATTAAAGACTCAATGGAGCAGAAATCTGCTTTCCAGACTAGTTTGATAGTTCATGGCAAACTTGGAGATTCTCATTTGATATATAGGTTCATCTTTCTTCTTCCCCATTAATTCTTTGGAAACTTGGTCTATGGATACCGTCTCTTACCTCATCTTTTTATTTGATAAATGTTCACAGATTCCTGTCTCAGATGCAGTGTCTTTTTTGAAGGGGACCTTTATATACTTTGCCAGCCTCAGTATTTTGTATGTTTTGCCAATGAAAGTCCATTAAATCATGATAGTGGCTTACCATTAAGACAGAGAAATCAAGAATAACTATGTGACCTCAAGAGAGAATTGAGATCAGGTGAGCAGAGATTTTCAGGGCTTCTTACCTTGCTGTTGTTATCCTGAGTTGCACAGGGCTCTGTGGGTCAGTAATTTCTCAGATAAAGAACTGAGAAAGCAAGGATGGCCCCAGTCTGCAAGTTAGCCACTCTCCACAACATGGGTGTTTTGTACAGGTCTTTGATGCTGCTTCAAGAAGTTCTAGGTAGAAATATTAAATATTTCCATTGCAGCATTTTCCAAGCAATCTGTCACAGAACTAACCTCAACATCAGCTTGGACAGTTGGAAGTTCTTAAATCATAGAAAAAATGGTTATATCTCCTCCTCTTTTTCCCTATCTGGTTATATGATTCTGTATTTCTCAAATTGTAGGAAGAGTGGTTAATGGTAATGAATGAGATCAAATCTCTTCACTCATGTAGTCCTATAGAGTGAAACACTGTTTTAGCATAACTAAGCAGGACATAAAAGGTGTTGCTAACAGAGCATTACTAAAACAGATGTTTGTGTAGAGCAGAGCTGCCAGAGCTGTTCTGCCTGGGCAGTTTTGCACTGAAAAGCAAAGAGAGAAACCAACTTTGTTAAGAATATGTCTCTATAGGTGCGGTGTGTGAGTTGAAAAACGTAGAGAGCTCAAAACTTTAGAGGATCCTAGAGAAGATAACTTGCAAGTAAGCACACAAGATAAACGCAAAGTGACCTTACAGAAGTAATTATCCTGAGGTGTGGTGATGTATTTGTCATGGGCACAAATAAACAAATGCTAGTTGTAAAATCAGGAAGACAGTTCTGACATCTGAATGTTCTGTCATCTTTTAATGGCCATCAAACTGTAATTTTGCCAGCTTTCTTCTGTGCCTGTGTCTCTGAGGCAAGTTATTGCTGTTCACACTGATTGCATTGACTCAGACATCTGTGATTTGTTGACACAGTGTCCTATAACAGACCTGTGTTTCAGACTTGAGATGCTGTAAAAGCTTTTTTATTCCTGCAAATTCTTGAATCAGGGTAGGTTTAAAAACAGTGTTAAAGAAGAAAGAAGCCAGCAACCAATGAGAGTTCAAGCAATAGCATTAGTCATGGGCTCAGAGTGCACACAGTTGATAGAGATTATAACACTTAGAGGCCATGGAAAATTAAAATCCCTATATGTATACTAGTCCCTCCAGAACTCTAAATGTTGTGGAGTATATTCCTCTTATGGGCTGTTGCTCTTAATTCAAGTAAAGAGCTTTTTTGTTTGCTAGTGTTTTCATAAACCAGCTTTATATCATTTATTTTTAATTGCAAGCAGTACAAAATAGAAAATTAAAGCCCAGGATAGACTCTCTATTCAGTTAACATTTGCCAGTGGTACTTCCAGAGTTTATTCTGTGTGTTTTTTGTAAGGATGTTGTCCCTGCCATAGGGAGTCTATTTGGTTATCAAATTTGATTCGCTTGACTTAAATATTAAACATGAAGCATCGCCCATGGGATCTTTCTCGTGAACAACTAAATCTAAGCAGAGAGATTTATCTGACTGTGAGTGTATTACAGTCCTCATCAGATGATGAGAAATGATAATCCTACAAGTGCAAGAAAATTTTGAGTATCACAGAGCTGCAGAATAAAGGGTACCCTGTCTGTTAGGTGCCTCATTTGGGAGCCATTGATTTAAGTAACTGGAATGTGCCAGAAAAGCAGCTGGAAAATTCCAGCATCACACCAGGGACACTTGAAGGGACAAAAGTATATGTGGAGAAACTTCCTTAATTCCTGTATCATGAATCTTGGGAGATGGAGTATCTTCAGTAGCTGGCTGCAAGAAGCTGAGATGGCTTTGCATCAGAACTCATCTTGGAGCAGGAAGAAGGAACAGAAATAGAAACACTAATGCTGTTGGCTTTCTGTGTTATGGATGACTTTCTTGAGCCTCTTCAACATCGCTGAGAGAGCTTTTGGAAAAACTGTGGTTTCCCAGCATTGATCTCGACAACTTCTGTGGTATTTGGGAGGAGAGAGCAGTCTGTGTCTGTACAGGGTGCAGAAGGGACGGTGCCAGGAGGAAAAGTGTGAGAAAAAGGGCATTTCATAGACCAAATCAGGGGCTTAGGCAGCAGTGCAGAGGACGGCTCCTGTCCCAAAGCAATCAACACCAAGGACATTCAATGCACCATGCCTTCCTGGCTTCAGTGTTGAGGTTCTTTTTATTTTTTATTCTTTTTAAATTTTAATTAAGAACAGTAAAAGCAAGAAACACCTCTGCTTTCCTTTGGTTATATAACATTCCTCATTCCTTTCTTTTTTTTTTTTTCCTTTCTTTTACATTTTGCTTCCAAGCACCATTTTTCTGAACATATAAATCCTTATTCAAACTTAATAAAAATTTAAGAGGCTGTGTTTATTCAGTTAGACTATGACCTAAAGTGGTATACAAAGCATCTCTCCTGCTTGGACAGCCTTCTGCAAACGCACGATTCTCTTGTGACTTGTTCAATCAAGAGTCTTAGGCTGGAGTTTCTGGGCAGAAAGTCAACAAGATGCTGAAAAGAAAATGGTCTTTAAGTTAAAGATAGGATAGGTTTATGTTGTTTTTTCTTCAAACTTTTTCCACCACAGAACAATTTCTCTTTTATTTTGTTCCCTAAATCTGATGTTGAGGTTTTTATTTAAATATGTTGCACTGATTAGGCTTTGGGAGTACCTTGTACCCTTACTTCCTGTGATGGGTTTTCAGATGTTCAGATTTTGAAGGACAATTCTGTGCAGCAAATTCATCTTTGCCAGCATGGAATTTGCTGTTTCTGTGTTTCTTTGTATTCCTTTGTGCACTTTCTATAGTGATGTATGACGTTTTTCATTTGTTTTTCTTTTTTCCTTTAACCCTACCCAAAAACTATACCTGTGATCTCCAGCTCTTGTTTTTCAGCCATAATTTTGACCCAAGGATTCATGGTTAAATAGCTTTTGGGATAGCAGATTTTGCCTTTTGAAATACACAGAGGGATCCTGATGAGACAGCATTAGAGATCCGTACACTAACAGCATGCCAGTGGTCAGCTTCCCTACACTAATGAAGAAAAGGTTCAGCTCATCACTTCACAATACATTTGCTGTTTATAAACAGGTTGTGTTTTATACCCCTTTAAAAATGTTATCATTCTGCATTTAAACCTATCCTTTAAGATTTAAGAGTTCTGATAATTCTAATTATATCATTAATTTGCCCCATTCTCATTTTGGATAAAATATGACTGCATTTCTGGCTCACTTCTCAAATCAATGAGAACTATCTGTGGAATGCCCCAGCTTCAATAAATGCAGAAACACACAGCTGAAACCATTAGGTAGAGCGTTGAATGATAAGCAGACCTAATTTGTTCAAGGAATGGAGTTTTATCTACAGCAAAGGAAGATAAATCCTTAAACTGAAGGTACAGCTATTGTAACACAACACTTTGGAAGCACCTTATCATTTTCAGCTGTAACAAAGTGCAGACAAACTGGCACGGCCTCTTGTCCTTATAGGGAAAGTGATTACAGGCTTTCCAGCAAAGCAAACGCAAGGTTGTCCCAGGCACAGAGCTGCTCTCGAGGGTTTCTGGGTCCCAGCAAGCCATCAGTAGCATTTCTATGCCTCTAAGTTATTCTTAAAATGCATGGCAGGCCCAGCGTTCCCCTGGTGTCTGATGACATGTTCAGAGTTGCTTGTGGCCCAGCATGAGTCTCTCACCTCCTGGGTGCTTCTGGAGAGATGCTGCTTTCCCAGAGTTCAGAAGAGCTCCTGATCAGCTGTGGCAGGCTCACACATTCTTCCCACTGCACCTGAGTCACAGCTTTGTGAGCTTTTGGAAGTTTTAAAAAAAATAAAACAAAACAACCCACAAGGGCAGCCAAAATTTTTGGAGTCTAATTTTCATATTATGTCGGAACAGGATTCCAGA